AACTAGTAGAATGATAGAGTATTATCAACAAATAATCACAAATCTGATGTTGATAATGAGTTGACGACATTAATTATCCTTCTATTAACCTTCAACCTTCTAGCACCACTGTATTTCTGATACACAGATTACTGGACATAAAAAGCGAGGGATAGAGAAGGATATGCAACTAATGAAGTACAAATCTCGAAACAACATTCTTGTCATTACCATCCATGAAGTTTGTCACCAATAATACAGCATGAAAAAAGAAAGAAATATTTACGAGAACCATTCTGCTAGATGTTAAGAAAGGCATATCAGTGCCAAACTTCCGCAGTAATTATTTCTGCAGAACAAATGTCAATAATGAACATAAAAGCTGAGTCATCAGGATTAATGCCAGAAGTACAAAAACAAGTTCGGATGAACTTTAATCAAACACAACAAATAATGAACTACCATTATTGTACATTTGTTACTTACTAACAAACCAGAACACGAAAAAAAAAATATGAAAGCAATCAGAATTTTTATTATCAGCTAAATGTTGCGGATTTATTGCGGAATTGTATCAATTAGAACTGAAAGGAATTGTAATCCATTTCATCACAGTTAACAATGATCATTTGATTTCGAAGCAACATTTAACCACCGAAAAAATTGATATTTAGATTTTTTATCCATAGATTTCAACTTTGCCAGTTTATGTAACAAACTAAGCTTTTACAGAACTTTTTGCTTTTCAGTAATCAATTCTAATCAGAAGAATTTCATAATGACCTTATCATATCATGTCTATCCACGCAATTCACTTCCAGCGTCATATCAATTCCATGTCGATTTTGCTATATTTCGAAATTTCGACTGAAAATTTCTTAATGATAGCATTAGCAAGAGCAAAAAAAAAAAATTTTTTTGTCGATTTCGAGATGATAAAAGATGAAAAGTAATAACTGAATCATCTATATTGGAGTGCCACTTAAGATACCAGTGCAATCAGTCAAAATCAAATATCAGATCAGATATCAGAACAAGCAGTAAAATTTAACTTATCACTGATTGGAATTTCTTGCTCTAAATATTACTTTATAAGTGGACTCTTGCATATATATAAATCAGTCTTATCTTAACTGAAAATTGCGTTTTAGTGAATGAAGACAAATGATTAAACGTTACTTCTTTTTGTTAACTTCTTTGAATTATTGTGTTATTTGTTATTTGCTTGAAAGGAAAATTATGTTTCAACTTTTACCTCAGATATGACAATAAGCACTTCAATTGCACTCTTAAAATAACGATTCTATTAGAAATTAATAAAATAATCAATGCATATAGGAAAACGATTCATTTCTTTTTTTTTCTTAAAAAGTGAATTTTTGAATTTCACTTTTTTTAATGATAAGAAAGTTACTATCTATCATTTAAGTTATTTTTTGTATTATTAAGTGAATAGAACCTAAGAGAGTTCCATTTCTTCTCACTTACTAATGAGAAGAAATCCACTAACGCTCATTTCTCTTTGTCCGTATTTTAGAAACAATTTTTCAGGTATGATTGAGGAAGATAGTAAATGTAATATTTTTTCAATTATGCGATCAAGAAATTATATACTTTATACCATAAAAAAAAAAAAAAAGGAAAGAAAGAACTTGGATTCCATGGAGCATACATATCGATTTTTCGTTTCAACTGAAACGTCTGAAAAACTCGTTAAATCGGTATTGGAGGTGTTGATAAATTATTGCCAATAGTTTTTTTTTTTATTCATTTTTCACTTGTTAATCTCTCAACATATCATTTTTTTATCAACTGATAAGAATAACTACCAATTTGTTTAAAATACAGTTTCATCTCATGTCGCATTTTTTCTATATATGTCTTATTTCATATTTTGTTTATTTAAGTTTGCTTGCTGGTACTCTTCCAGCTATTTCATGTAAGCTTGTAATGAATATTTTGGTGGGAAAGTAATTCACTGATGTTTAGTATAAGAAGTAAACTAGATTGAATAATGGATGCTAAGGTACTACTATGAACTAAACAATTAACAGGAGTAGGGCAGCTATAATCTTAGGCAACCAACTACCAAAAGGTATGACCACCCTTAATAAAAGTAGAAATAAATGACATAAAAATTAACAAAGAGCTGAAAAACTGATAAGAAAGAAAACCAACAGAAAACAAAACAAAACCATTAAAAGGTTTTGAGTGCAAACGGAAAATTCGAATTGGCTCATTGCCGTTAATGTTTTGATGTTTCGTTATTTTAGTGAATTAATCTTCCTTGTTTCTTCTTTTTTTTGTTAATTATTATTCCAATAATAGTAATAAAGAACTTTCAAGTACTTCATGTGCAATATTTGCCAATACTTAGAGTTACATGTGTATGCTTTATGAATTACTTCTTTTAATTTTTTCTGAAATCATTTCTTTTTCCCAAACAATTACTTGAAATCCATTCATTAACTGTCAGCATTAATTATCATTATTTTTTTTTTTAAAGCTGTTACTATTTTACTAATTAATTATATGACTTTATTCCGTCATTTGATATTGTAAAAACTTAAAATTTGAATGATTAAACAAAAAAAGAAGGAGGAAAAAATTTCTGAAATAAAATGGAAAATACATTTTGACGTATACATTAACAACATTTAACCGTTCGAATTGATTAAAATATTAGACAATGTTTGCTTGCAAATAGTTGTTAATGAGAACATACTAGTTAACTGATTAATTGCCTAATTAACTAATGATTCAGTTACTCGAAAATGTATAATTTGAGGAGAAAAAGGAAAAAATGCATACGTTTTGAAATTTTTTTGGAAAAGTAACAAGATTTCACGAGAATTGTTTCTACAGCTCGTTTCACTTTTTTTTTTCAGATAAAATAGCACTAAAATGATGTAATTATTACTCTTTATTGAAACTAATAAAGAACTTTTAGAGCAACGAAATAGTTTTTAATCGTTTTAACTGATATCTCTTCGTCATCTTTTCTTCTTTTATCATAAGAACAATGAAGAGTAGTTTCACTGTATCAGCTAGTGAAACTAAAATGATAAATGATTGAATGCTACGCCAATTGCAACTATCATATTTTGTCCTCAATGCACTTCAAATATTTCATTTCTTTCACTCGTTCTCTGTTCATTTTTCCATGCATTCTATCCAAAAATAAATAATAAGGCATCTTAATTTTTCTGTGTTTGTTTCAATTTTTTTTTTTTTTTTTTTTTGGGTGGGAATTCAAGATGTAGTAGTAATTATTTGTAAAATTGATCTCTGAAATTAGCATTATTATTTCGAGATCTATAACAGTGGCCATTGATTTTCCAGTGTTTGATATTAACATTTTTCTTTCAAACGTTATACAAAATAGATAAATGCTTTTGTTTGTTATAAATGCAGCTGATTTCATATTTTGATCCCGATGCCATCTTTATAATTTAATGAATAGAAATTCTATGAAGAGCTAATTAACGCTTGAATTAATCATCAAAATAATTAGTTTTAATTCATTTAAATCTAAAAAACTTATTGGGAAAATAAACTTTTATCTCAATAGTAACGAAATTATTGCAATTATGCAATAAAGTCGCAGCAGATTAAATAGAATTATTCATTTTGTAATAAGTGGTTAACTTAACGTTTTGCGTTTTGGCTAGTATTTTTTTTTTTTTTTTTGCTTTATTTAAACAATCTTCGCAACAATCAATTTATGACTTTCCATAAGTAAATAACCCCCTCACTGACAATCTCGAGACGTCAAAACCTTATCTACACATTTCATCGATCAAATTACTTTTCTGTTACTTGTATGATTATTTCTGGAATATTTTTTAAGAATGAAAAAAAATATAACAAATTTCTCTACTTAAAATTTTCCATTTAAATAATTTTTCTATTTAAATAAGATTCTCGATCCAAATAATTATCATTCCTTGTGTTTCTTTTCTTATTCTGATTGTAAGCAAATTTGTCATTGATATTAGCAAATCAAATCTCTTGATTAACTAACTCATCCAATATGTTACTTCAAATATTGATGAATTTAGCAAGCTATCACCATCGCCATTCTATTTACTATTTCCATTTTATCACTAATCTATCAGTTTTCTGTTCCGTTACTATTATTTTTGATTTCTCTTATTCTCACTCATCCTTCATTTCGCTACAGTTATAAAATTACTTAATATTTGTTAAATTTCATCATTTAACTCATCGTTATCGTTTGTTACTTTCATGCTGGTATGTCAACAGTAAAACTTTACATGTGTTAATCTCATTTTCCTTTTCTGTCTCAAAAAATAAAAAATCAAAAATAAATTTGGTTTTATGATTTTCACAGTTATAATGAAACGATTTATTTTGAGCTAATAAAAGAAGATGATAATTACAATTATTATTATTATGATTTAGTAAAGAGAATGGTTACATTAGAATTAAAATAACACAAAAGTGGTGCTAATTGCATACTTATTATGATAAATTAAACAAATTGGTGATTGAAATTAGAGAGCGATTCATTCAAGTAGGATCACATCTATTATTATTCATGGCAGAAGAATGTTGAATGTGAAAATGAGAAAAAGGGGGGTGATAAATGAATGTAATTTTAAGCTTTGTGGCAAGTTTATGGTATCACAAAAAATGCGAATAGTGGGTGGGAAAGATTGAAGTGTTCGGAAGGTGTCTGAGAGTAATGGAAATGATAATAGTTGTAAACAATAATAATAACAAACAGGTGTGATAAAGAAGTGGAATGGTTGAATGTTATTTAAGTTCCTAGATGTTGTTTAAAAAAAAATTTTGAGAAAAGGATAACATTTTTTATGGATAGTTCATCAAATAATAGTCCTCGTTTTTAGCGAAAAAATTTGATTTCTAAAAAAAATATCCCATTTTATCTCAAAATCAATTGTTTTTTTTTTTCTTTTTTTAAGTTTCTCAATCTTTTAATCAAATTCTTTCTATCAAACGTAAGTATAGTCATCATCTACTTTATTCACTCAGCAATGAGTACTATAAGATCAATAGGCAACCAAAAATTGCCTATGAAATTAGAAGGAGTACCATCAGTGCTACGAACATTGCGTATACGAATTGATTTTTTTGATCGAAAATCAATTGATGTGAATGCTATTGTGCAGGTTATTTTTGACATTCCTTTTTTTTTTATTTATTTTAATCATACCATAAATTTTTAATTTTTTCAAGATGCTTATTACTTAGTTGTATTTCTATTTATTACATAATGATATTTTGTATAAATATAAAACTTTTTCCATTGAAAATTTTTTTTTACCGGAAATACTTTTATGCTACATCTTTGATTGATCATATAATAATATCAGATTGATTAAGTACAAATAATTTACAGGACTGTCTTCCAGATGGATCCTGCATTGGAACTGTTGTGGGTTGTCACGGTACGCCAGGCTCACATAATGATTTCAAATATATTTTGCCATATTTACACAGTTATGGGATTCGTTTTATAGGCATCAATTTTCCAGGCCAAGGCTACACTCCACGTATAGCTTCAAAAAATATTACTGAATATACGATTATTTTATAATATAATTCATGAACAGACTCTAACTATGATTAATTTAATGGCGATTAATTAATTGTAAAGTGTTCATTAATTACAACGGAAATGTGTTGTCATCTTTCTGTTTTTTCTTTCATTTTCAATGATAATATGAATAATTAGTTAAATGTTCGGAATCAAAATAAGAAATTGCAGCATAAAATGAAAAATTAAATAAAATATTTGAATTTTTTCTTTTCTTTTTACCGAAAAAAGAAAACTGTTTTGTAGATCATGAAGAATTAAATTATACTAATGAGGAGCGTATGCAATTTGTTCAAAAAATTATCAATATGATGGATGTTGGTGATAATATTGTATTCTTAGGCCATAGCAGAGGAACGGAAAATGCTCTTCGATTGGCTGCAAGAAATCCGGTTAGATCTTGGTAGTAAAATGAGTAAGTAAAAGATGAATAATTGTTTCAGTTGTTGAATCCATTTTTTTTTTTTTTTTTGTATACTGCAGGCAACACTTGAATTTCGATTTTATTACCAAAAAAAAAAAATATTACAGTTCTATTTCGTATTATTATCAGAAAAAATTAGGACTTTGTCAAAAATTCTATTATTTACTTTAAATGATGCTTTCAGGATCGGTGTAAAGGTGTTGCACTAATTAATCCAATAGGTATTAAGGTTCATCACAGCATTAAGCCCACTTGGTTGATCATTTTTGGATTATGGCTTTGGGAAACATTCAAGATATTTCGTTTTATTTTACGATATTTGTTTTATAGAAGTATGTATTACTGAGTCATACTTGCATTTACACAATAAGCATTTCCCAAAATATTAAGAAATTTTGTAATTTCACTATAATTGAGAATTTATTATCTTTTAAAATTACCAAAATCATATTTTTTGATCTTTTTTGTTCTCCATTCCAGCTTTATTTTTAGTATTTCAAATGTTGAAAATGAAAGTGAAAAATGGTGATGAAGCTGCAATTTGTCTTAAATTAACAACTAATATTGATCTGACAGATCAAATGCGATATATCAATATGTTGAATAATAATAAAACAAAAGTATGATTTTGAAATTATTAAGGTTTAGGATTTTAATTCCTTCTCTTCTGATCTCTTGTTTATTTGATATCAAAAGTTATAATCACCATACTTTTTTATGGCAGATACATTTGCACAATTTTTATATTCATATTCAGATTAACTCATATCCATGCAGGTTTTGATTGCTTACTCAGCGTTGGATCATCTTATTGAAATATCAATCAGTCAACAGTTTGCATCACTTTTCGATAATATCAGCCATATGGTAAGCAATGCTTTAATAAAATATACCTCTCTTTTTTTTCCATAATTATTTCTTTCTGTTTACTACTTTTTTTTGAGAGAGAGAGATATAAGTTGGATTAACTATTAGTTTCTAGAAGGATAATCATAATATCAGTCATTCAGTAACTTTTATTTCTTGTAATTATTAAGCCTATTACTTATGTTTGATAACTCTTGACATTTATCAGTTCTTTTTTTTTTAGTATTTTTGTATAGAGTTGCCGAAATTATCAATTATGACAGATTTTCCTTTCGATAGTAACAAATATTAAACAGAAGATCACTTCCTAATATAACACTGATTCATTTGATTTTTCCATATGTATCAAGAATATGTGAAATAAATATACACATACATACATACATGATCGTCCGGAAAGAATATTGCAAAAAAAAATTGCTAACTAAAAAAATTTTTTTTTAGAATTGTTCATCAGCAACAGGAAGTAATATGTCGTCAGTGCTGGATTATATTCCGAAACAGTATGCCCAAACAGATCGATCTTTTTCAGTTTGTTTTGAAAATGAAGGCCATTACTTACAAAAATATCAGGCAAAATTCATTGCAAATTGCACATATTCAATGCTGATAGCAAGAAATAGTTTACATCAAAATGTTGAAAATGGATTTAAATCACTTTTATAATTACAACGGTTGCAAAAATTCCTTCAGCTCAATAACTATGATCAATTCTGGTCAGTTCTGAGAATCCATTTGAGGAAATCTCTAATGACCAGTTTTTTTTTTTTTTTTGTTTTAATTCCAAATGGTTTTGATAATAAATGATATCATTTATATGTTGTAATTAGTTCTAATCACTTTCTCTACTACTGTCGACATCAAAAATCCTCTTTATATTTTGGGAATACAAAAAATTGAATTGTAAAATCCTACAATTAGTTAATAAACCTCTATACTTATACATCTCTATAATGTGGATGTACACACACTACACACATCTATACTATGCTGTACACACACACCTCTATACTGTAGATGTAAAAAGGTTTATATGAAATGAAATTGAAGAGAAACCGTTTCAGGATCTTTTCCTTTTCTCCTTTGTATTTTTTTAATTTCCAAAAGCAGAAAAAAAAATCTTTATTCCTGTAGTCGCAAAATTTTTTGGTTCTTTGTGCTGTGATATACTCATGATCATGAGTAAAATTTCTTTTTAAACAAAAAAAATTGCAATTTACTAAAAAGGTATTAATTTGTAATTTACTAAAACGAAAGATATTTTGATGTTAAGAAATTGGAATAATTCAAATGTATGAAAAATAATTTAAATGTATGAAAAAAATATTTCATGTTAAAGAATAAAAATGCAACAATTTCAAGAATAAATGAATAGGTCGTCAGAGGATTTTATGGTTTTAAATTCTTACGATTATTTTGCAATCTTGCGCTGATAAAACATAATGTAGAATTATTCTTCTTTAGTTTTAGTAATAATTGCTTATTTTATAAAGAATTTTGTAACTAGTTCCTTATGAATTTTTATTTTTCATTTTGAAATTAATAGGAAAAAAACGAATTAGAAGAATGACCATAGAATGAATCAACTTTACTTCACTTTAAGCTAATAGAAACAAAAGTTATGCACTTCATTACTCTTCGAGGGATGCTTTCAAAATTCAGTATTTTTAAATTGCAAAATTTTATTACGATGTTTAAAAAAAACTTTACATGACGTCTTGTTTTGCACTGCTATTCTGCTTGCATTATAATTCCAATATTACAAAAAATAAAATAAAAGTGAAAGTGGAAGAGATAAACTTGATAGCTACGATTAGTTCTGCATATTCAACTCATTTTGCAATTTTTCAAATTAATTTCCACAATAAGAAACAAAATAATTTATATAATCAAAATGACTTGTGCCATTCAAAAGGAAGTCATTCAAGTTATAAAGAGACATGTCACTCAACAGGAAGTCATTTCAGTTATAACGAGACAGATGTGTCACTCGGAAGGAAGTCATTCGAGTTATAACGAGATCAAATCAAGTCATTTAAACGAAATGTGCTACTTTCGTCGTTCTTTATCAACAATTATCAAAAACAAGTTAACACTCGAAATAATTACTATTCTGTTTCATTATTCGATCAACACTTCTTTTTGAATTAAACCTGTTATGTGATGCGCATGCATGCATACTGCTGAAATATATAATACATATCTGAAGGAAAAAAGATCTAATGAATTTAATGAATAAAGATAGTTACTTTGAGCAAAAAAATTTAAACACTTTCAGAAACTTACAAAAGAGAATGGTTGAATCTTCGATATTGCGAATAAAAATAAATATTGAGCAGTGAAAATAGTTTTTCACTCATCAAAAGTCGTGTAAAATTTAGATAGCATTACTCTCAGAAAATGGCCGCTCTGATTATCTTTCTTTATATATTGATTGATATGGTTGTTTGATTTTCATGCATTTTTATATTGAATTTCCAGCTACTTTTGTGTTTTATATGCAGATGCTCCTGATGGAACATTATATGCTTATGTGCTTAATTCTGCCATCCGGAACCTAACTTCTGGTGTCAGTAGTGGTCTATCGTAGATATCCTATTACGGTCCACCGTGCTTGTACCGGCTTCCATGCCTGTCAGCCCAATTTCTTTTATTTTCCAGATTGACAACATGCATCCCTTACTTTTTTTCGCTTAAAGCATACTGTGGGTAGAGACTTCTGAAATCTTCTACACCTCATATCAGTCCTTTCAACTGTAGTTATATTACTTACATTTTCTGCCTCACCTGTAGAATTAGAATTCAATCACACGAACAACATTAATTTCAAAAAGCTGAGTTACCATCCCTGTCCTTCATCCTCATAAAAGCATCAAAATTCAATTCGAAAATCATTATAATTTAAGATCGAAGAAAGTCAATGTGTCGAAATTTTGAATCCAAACCACATCCAAAATATTAATATATTAAAAAAGAGGTGAGAAATTACTAATTTTGCTGCCAGCGAAAGAATGATTTGGAATGTTTCAGGAAATACAAATAGTCATAATATGGACATTGATGAAGCAAGTACAGTCCCCTACACTTGTGGAACATTAAAATGAAAGTTACCTTTTGTCAAAATGACGTCATGACTTTTTTTTTTTTTAAATATTTTTATACAACAAGTGAAATTTCGCTTTCTTATTAGAAACCATTGTAACCCAGAAGGATAAAAAAAGCTTCATAATAACAAATAATCTAGAAAAATATTACTAAATGATAATACATCAGTGAGAAATGTCCATACTTTCAACGATATCGTACTTAATTTCTTTTTGCTTCAGAACATTGGTAGAGCCAAGCTTGAATTTATAGTCCAGCTCGACGGGCTCTGGTCGCACACAAAAATGTGGAACTACAGGACCCTGAAAAATCTCATCTACTGCAATAATCCACAAACCATGTTATAGGTAATTGATGGATTAAAATGACACGATAGCCGCTAAGACAACTTCTGATTTTGCGAAGACGGCAAACTGCCGGCAAATATGTTCTGATCATCCCATCCAGAGATAATAAGGCGGAAACGAGTAAGTAATGCAATTCTTGGCACCATGCATATGCCATCTTTAACGAAATTTAGGATTAATGGATTAAGTAGAATGAGAGCCCACCATATTATCATGAAAGCCACTAACTAAGAGAAGTTCTGAAAGTTAGCAAAAGTTGGAGTTGCCCTGAGAATGGAGAACGAAATTTACTATGAACACAACGGACACTCAATTTTTAGAGGTTTATAAATCCATAAGAAAGTTACCTTGAATACTGTAGATTCCGGTGTTATAATCACAAAATTTAAAGAATTGCCGGAAGCATTATCACCATGCATACCGGCCTCTAGAGCATGGCGTACCAGAAGAACGGCTTCTTCTTGCTAAATAAAGCACAAAGAACTCATAATGTGAACTTTCAATTATCAGAAAATCATCTTAGTAGCGTCGAATAATCAGTGAGTGCCTCATCAACGAAAATAGAGGGCGATATCAATAAAATGTGAATTAGAAGCTAAAAAATCTATGATCTGCAAGTGAATAGAAGATATAACGCTGCAATAAGTTGTACAATATCTTAGTATGACGACATACTGCACTAAGGATCTATGGGATGAAAAAAAAATCATTTTTTAACCAAATGACAAAAAATTTACTGTCATGTTGGTTTTGAAATCTCGCTCTAGAATGGTTGTCGCAGCATAACTACCTGAGCCTTCGGAAGCAAAAGGTTTACTTTGTGTGTAACCATTTGCTGAGCACTGAAATATTAATTATTCCATTAAATCTAATACCATTTCGGCTTTCACTATTATGTCCTTGACCTAATATTATATGAGATGGCATTGTTCAGCTTTTTTACCTAATTTCTACAATCACATAGAAGAATCAGCTTGTCCCTTTGACCAAAGGAGTTAGCAAAGCTAAGAGAAATGACGGAATAGAATCTTAAAACAATACTGCAATAAACTACGTAAATGAAAACTGTGGAGTAAGCAGGAGTCAAACATACCTGATATAAGTGTGGTCCAGTAGGATCAACACCACCAATCAACAGATATGCTCCAACATGACCCATATATGAAAACAAATGTTGTTTGGCTCGCCGGAGTGCCGTAACCACTCGTGCCTTCTTCCCGGTGTTCAATTCTAGAAGTCGCAATTGTGCAGATAACATTTTGGTTACCTGCAAATATGCTCTAACTCAGAATTAACAAGTTTTGAGAACATACTGCTAGCCAAGATACATACATTACATATAAGCTTACCCGTTATTCAGTCCTACACTTCCACAATTGTAATTTGACTAAAGGTCGGACACAGTCTATTTATAGAGTTTTTTGGAACACAGTTTGCGTTAAATTGACCCGTTTAATTCGTCCATGGCTCGTATTCCCAGTATCTTCGATTAACGTAGAAATATGTTTTGCTATACTTTGCTAAGCAGTGGTAATTCAGTATCACAATAAAGACCCAGTATCAAAAAAAAAAAAAACAAAAAATTAATATATTCGATACCAACCTGATTTAAATCAGCAGCAGTACCAGCACCGCACGCATAAATTGAATCCGTAAGTTTATGCACTTTTTCGCAATGTTTGTCAGCAATGATGTTACCAGCAGTTGCGCGTGAATCAGCACCCATTACCAGGCCGTCCTGCAAAGGAATGATCAAATCAACATGTAAAGTTACATGTATTTTTGGGAATAAAGAAGCAAATCTTTAATAGCTTTTACAAATGATACACCTTTCTGCTGTTAGCTAAGCTGCATAAAATGGGTGACCCGTATACATATAAAAATATGGACAATTTAATCACCACATTCAATTTACTGTAATCTCCACCCTATCCATTCATAAGAAACGCAAAGAAAGATAAAATTAAGACCTTGTAAGTAGTTGCAACAATAGTTGTACCAGTACTTTTCATCATTGGTGCTTTGACACCCATTGATTCTAAGGCCATATTTCGGGCACAGTTTGAGAAATCAAATACATCACCACAACCAATATCGGTACTGCCACAAAGTACTTCTGTCATTCCTGCACTAAAATATGAAGTATACATATGACAAGTTATATGGAAAGACACAATCATAAAAGAAGCTCTTTTACGCTGTTTTAGACCTCAACCTTTTAACCTTCTCATTATCCACAGTTTTTTAAAGCACTACAGCACCTCTAAATCACTTCGACATGACCACCAATTCCTTTACAATTAATCTTTGAAATTGTACTTCGCAGCCTAAGTATAGCCACTTTAAGGGTGTGATTATGAGAAAAAAAAAGTACATTTTCCTTTAATGGATAGCCAAAAATTAGATATAAAGAGTGTTCAGTATGGGTATAAAATTTCTTAATCCTGTCATTCCATTGTCACATTCAAACTCAATAAATACCAATGAATTAAATGGCTTATACATTCTTGGTTTTAAAAAAAGACCATAGAAAAACAACGCCAAGAATCAACTATGGATGATTACATTTGAATGATGACAACATTTGTCACTTACATCAAATTTATTAAAAAATGTTATGGTAATTATGTTACAACTGAAATACTAATGTTAAATGAAGATCAACGTCAAAAACATCGAGAACAGAACAAATAATGTGATAGGAAGAATGAATCGACCAACCAACACTCAAACAAAGTGAGATCAAGGGATGACGCACGTTTACTCACTAAATAAAGCGACTCATCCTACTGCAACCACGCGAATACGATGAAATTGTTAAATCCCATCTCAGTTGTTAAGAACGCGGAGACACTGCCACAACCCGGACAAGTGTACGGTTCACAAGTGTAACGTCTTTACGTGCATTCCTGGTTCATTAGTGCTAAAGATGCGACTGGAACCTTGCCAACCATTACAACCGGCAATGTAACAGGCTGGAAATATATTCAAGGGAGGAAATTGTCCCATTAGTTCTTTTTGAAACACTTAATTTTAAAAACGACACAATTACTAAGACGTTTGTCATGACATAATACGGCAAAAGTCAATTTGTAAATATTTCCGTTTTTATACAATCTCTAATAATTTCCGATCAGACATTTTAAACAAAAGAATGACAATAAAAAATAAACCAAACGAGACTTAGACCACGACAAACCAAACGAATAAAATCAATAATCTAATAATTAACTTTAACTTGAAAGCATAACCCAATCAATTCAAACAGTTCTCACTCAAAAATAACCCCGCAAACAGTTGAGTTACAAACAACAGTTAACAACCAATCAACTTAAATCGCTAACTTAACAATATTATGCGAATTTTGCGCCCTCTTCGTTTCAGCTTTTAGGAGCAAAAATCGCAACATATCATTTAGAGTTTTTGCACGTCTACAATAATAAAAACAGTTTAATATTTCCACAGTGTTTTACAATTTGGAAATTGTCAAGAAAATTTTTTCGTTACACTCCACGAATATATATCCTGAACAATTTTTGCGGCACCATAAAAAATACATGTAAGGTGAAAAATTGGTATAATTTAGGAAGAGAAACGTTTAATTTACTAGAATACAATATTCTAAATCTTCGTTGAATTAACAACAAGGATTGAAACTCTAAAATAAAATGAAAAGTAAAAATTAGAAACACTCATTTTCGAGTGATAATACAATTCAAATGAAGATTCGCCTTCCAATTGGAGTCAGACTGACATCTGGAACAAATTGTGTCAAATCCTAGTAACAAGTTCAATTATGAAATTTAGGTTTTAAATTTAGTTTGAATCAAGGACTCATTTTCTCAATCAGTATTTTGTCCCTAACCTTATAGAGGAACCCTAAGCAGGCTCCTCTATAAGTACCAACCGAAAGGTGCTTCCTACTGGAAGTACCCCTAATCCCTTTAAGACAGAATGTTATCTTGCAATATATTCGAATGTATCACTTAAATTTCGTACGCTTCATTTAGATACTTTTCCCGTGAGCATATAAGCAGAAAAAAGGAAAAGGGACACAGTGGAAGCAACTTTCTTCAACAACGAAGGGCAAGAAAAATAAACAAAGCGGAACACGTGGTACAATTAACTAAATGCCTGAGCAAAGTTTCAAAAAAGGATATTAAATTACGAACTGAAGAACTGAAATCAACTTTCTAGAAAGATTGGAAGATAAAATGAATTTTATAAATTATGTCACAATTTTTGAACTAAAACAATATTTCACAACAACTTCTTCCAGTAACCTGTGTATCACCGTTTCGGGCATAATTCCAGATACAGAAATGATGAGAAAAAAACCAGCAGTTTACAGGCGGCCACGTAAAATTGAAATTTTCAAATTTAATGAGAAAATTGATAACTTTATATAATGATAATGACAACACAGAGTTACTCATTAAGTATAATTTCGAAAAATGCTCTTCTAAAATTGACTGAAAATTTTATAAACTGAGAACCGTATTTAAAGTTATGCACGGGTATTAGGGCATGTTCAACAAACATGATAGTGCCATCTAGGAAGAAGTTTCATCACAACAATTATCAAAACTTCAGAGCATACAAATCACTAGTTGAATAATAACAACACAAAAGGACAAGCTTTCCTTACATATAAACAAGAGATAATCAAAACAATAAAAAGTGAACAACTTATCAATAAATATATTGGAATTTACGATAATAACGTCCTTAGTCAATTATCCTAATTGGAACACTTTCATCCATATCTTGCTATTTGCATTTTGGAAATTCTCAGAATTACTGATATACTTTTGACATTATCTCGAAAGTTTGGAATTTTTTTTCTTATCTCTTTCCAAATTCTCCTAATAATTTTCAAAAAATCAGAGAAAATTTCAAAGAAAATACACCAATTACGGTGTATCTATCGCTAACAAACTAATAACAAGAATGTCCGAACTATTGTATTGTTGCTGGACCTATCGTTCTTCACCATTTCCATCACTCGCACCAGATATTACTATTGCTTGAGCTGATACTACCGCTGCTGCAGCAGTTGTCGCCGCTGCTGATGATGTGGATGACCCATTCGACGAAGCACCACTTTCGTGTAGTCTTAATTAGTTGAAATAAAGTAAATAAATAAATAAATGATTAAAAAAATTTTCAAAAAATCCGACATGAACCAATTAGCAAATCTAGTCTTGAGATATGAAACCGGAATGGAGTATTTTTGAACACAAAAAAAATCTATAAAAGCCATTAGAATCCAACAAGTCTAAAACAAAACTCATCCTACACTCCACAAAATTATTCCCCTATTGAAGCTTTTGAAGAATAATAATTCTACAGCTAAGATAGATAAGCAACTCACAGCTCTTAACTTTCTTTATAAGACAATAATTTTCCTAACCACTACAATTTTTGTTTCGACTTGATTTAAATATGAAAAAAGAAAATTTTTACCTAAGATGTGGTGCTAAACGTTTGAAATACCGATGATCTAATGCAGAACCCAGCGTTATTCGTTGCGATGGTTCATATGTAAGCATTTCTGAGATTATATCAAATAATTCAACGTCCTCCGGATCGTTTGACTTCATATAGCGCTAGAAGTTGCATCAAATAATTAGTAAAAAAAGTGCATAATTTTTTTTTTGGCCAAATACAAAGAAAATCTCTTTGGAAAATAAGTTCTCTAAGTACCCAAGTAATCTGTGCTTTTTATCAGGGAGCACTAGATGATTAAGTATTCAAACAAACAGTTATACATTCGAGCTATATGTCTTGACGTGCAAAAGCTTTAATAAACAAGTATGTATTCGAGTCTCTATTAGGGGTTTACTATGCTAAAATTTTCAAAACTCATGACATTTATACTATCGAGTTCATTAAACAAACTGATATTCTAGATTTAAATAACTCACAAATGGTGGTGTGCAATTAATCTTACAATTCATATCTGCACTGGCTATATAAAGAAGTTAGCACTATCTAACTACTATTGTTAATACGTAGCAGTGGTTTGTTACCAAAAGATATAAATTGTTATCTAAATCATACATGAAGGCAGGAATATATATATATTCAATCATGTTTAAACTCTGACTCATTCGTTGCTATTTCCAAAATATTTTGAATTATACAAAGGTTATAAATATTCGATTAACGAAATGATTAATACTGATTTGAGCTACTACGATTAGAAGCAAATAGACTGAGGATTTTTGATAAAAATTAGTAAGCTTAGAAGTATTTAATAAAAGTACTATATAAATTTATAAAGCGGGATAAACGAAGAACTCTACAACTTCTAGTTCACATTTTCGTTTAAAATTGGAACAATGAAAGTCGAAAATAATAAGGGTCCGAGTGGTAGCACTGTAAAGTATACTGGTCATATCCCTTGTCTCTTTTTTCCGTCTTCACTTTTTCATTAGTGTTCCTTCTATTATTTCCTTTGTCAATATTTCTATTGGGCATAATTTGGCAGGAAGTTTCCAGAACCATGTGAACATTTAATGGAATGGATTTTCACTGTCTTATCTATAATGAAATTAACGCATGGAACGTAGGAATGGATATTACAACATCCATGAGTTTTATGAAAAAGATGAATACAAGCAACTGTTGATTGTAAGATTAACCGCCAAATGCTCACTGGAAGGGTAATTTTTAAAAACTCATAAACCGCATAAATTTTTTCGTTTTCTTATTATCTACATCAGTATTCAATGCCGTAGCAACAAACACGCCAGAAAAAAGTGCAAGATTTGAAAGTATGCAGCAAAAATATTATATATCATCCATCATCTGGTCAAGCTTAAAGAATTCTTCTAATTCTGTTTTCCACTTCTTCAAAACCTTTCAATATGCTTTTCTATTGTATCGCTCCATATCTCTTGTTAAGAAAGCTAGGAGATAAAAAAGCTTTTCATTTCCAGACATTCCGTTTAAAAAATGCTTTAATCATGAAACAGCTTCTCTTAATTTTCCAATGAAATCTAATATTATCGGTTGTGAGTATGAAAAAGAGGTTTACCTACTACCCTAATATAAAAGTTGAAATGAATTATGCTTAGACGAACTAACAAGTTAGGATTTAAAAAAAAAATTAAACTGAGTTCAATGGAAAATAGTACATGCTATTTTGATTTGATCAGAAAACAGTCTACATAACTCGAATAGAGAACTTGTAGACTGCTACTATATTATATATTCTGTTTACAGCACATTTTGCTATCCATGAAATTTTGACATTAGCTTCTATGAAATTTTAAAATTTCCAATTGAAACAAAACTTTTAAAAGAATCAGTTTAATGAAGAGGAAAAAAATTCCTACCGACAACGGTTTACAATTATCTCTAACGTACTGTCCTGCTTGTGTTTTTTCATTCCAGTCTAATCGTCCGTGATAAAAATATTTCGTTCTGAAATTGAAAATATTAATGGTAGGTGCAATATTTGCAACTTTTGAAACACAACAAAATGTTTATGTTTTTTTCTGCCGTGGAGGATAAAATAGGGAGAAACTATATCTATGCTCCAATCAATAAATCGTACATTACACCAACTGAATGTTAACTCTACTTCTTTACTCCAATCCTTCTTTGTCTATTGAATACATATTTTCAGTTTTTCCTAGCAATTTTCTAAAACTGGGAATTAAATTAAAAAAGGGAACAGAAAGAAGCTCACTGATAAAACATACTTGGACTTCCTGCACATTCGATAAGGTAATGTACCCAAAATTCTTTCCATCATTGCAAGATGTTCCCTATTATCGTGCGTTTGAAATAATGTGATACCGAGGTAGAGCTCGAACAAGATGCAACCAATCGACCAGACATCACATGGTTGAGACCAACCTAATTCTGAAATATCATTAGACAATGAACAATTTGTTGTATCTGAAGTAATATAGTGTAAATTCAAAAATTTTTTAAGGAATACCTTTGAATAATACATCATGGTACTACAGAATTTAAGAAAACTCTTCAATAATTAAAATCAAGAATTCTTCAAAATTCTGCAAGGAATAAACCTATCATTTCATCCAATCCAACTATGGACACCAAATGCATAATACAGGAGGAAGTACGAAGCAGTCACATATTACATGTTTTTAACTGGTTGGGTACTAACATAAGCATTCATATATTATCTTTATCCTAAGTTCCGGCTTAAATTAGGAATTTTTATTAAAGAAATTAAATTTTAAAAAACCAAAAAGTTGTACGACTCAGACAATATTAAAAGTCAAATAATTTTAATGATGTCAAAATATATTTATATGTCATGTGCGACAGTTAACTCATCCCGATATCTGATATCTCATGTGACCTACCGTAATTAAATCATACCTACAGTGATTTCAATCTTTTTACGATAGAAAATAGTAGCTTTAGAGGTTCTCTATAGCACAATTATTGATCTAACTTTAAAGATCCCAGAATTCTTTTATATCTAATTCTTGCATTTTTCCTCATGACCTTCACATTGAAGCAATGTGAACTGAATTAATTATTAGTTTATTATTTACAATAATTGTATGGAATTCTGATATTAAGTGAAGCGCAAACGACAAGAATCTTCGGATATACTATATGTCTTGTTGGTACAAATTGTTTGCAGTGAAAAAGAAAAACGGCAAAACCTAGAATAACTTCAGGTGCTCGATAATGCCTTGTTGAAACAATTGTCGAATGATGTTCATGATCAAAAGTTGCTGAGCCGAGATCAATTAATCGTACGCGTGCATCATCGATTATTCGTAAAGGCCTTTTTTTCTTTCCATCCTCGACCACTCTGTAAAGATAACAAAAAAAAAAAAAAAGTATTGCTAGAAAAGAGGAAATTAGTTTTTTGTTTTTTAGACAAAAAAAGAGAACGCTAATTTCTATTTTAAAGAAAAATCAGAAACAATGGAAATTGCTTAGCTAAATACAATTTGTATGAAAAAAATGATGTTTCCGAATTAAAAATAAAACTTCTGTTAACAACTCGTGATTCAAGCCCATATAATGAACATGATTTCATTCAGTAAAATATAGATATGCTATGTATTTACGACTTGTCATAATAATGATTAGGTAACACGAAGTACTACTAACAGTATGTAATAACATTATGCTACTTGTTCCGACTTGGTTTGGGCTAATGGATTTCCAATTTACGGTTAATTTTTTTTTTCCTAATCGACCCAAACCTTTTTGCGAAGAATGGATGAAATAACATTCCTATAATTCACATTACTAATAAAAATGGATAATGATTCTGAAAATCCAAAAGTAATCTCACCAATCCCTTCCTTTATTCTCCCTCCACAGTTCAGTTTAATTATTGTGATCAGTTCCAGAAACAAAAGCAATATATTCAAGCATTCATCATCTATGAACAATTATTTTGACGGATGTTATAAGCGGAAATGAATTATTTGCAAATAACTTTTTAGTTATTAACCTGTAGCTACTATTGAGAAACAAAATATTTTCGGGTTTGAGATCCGTGTGCGTTAAACGATTATCGTGCATAAATTTTACCGCATAGCATAATTGATAAGCTATATACCGCGCTTGCTCCATTGGATAAGCTTGATAATTGTTCGCTTTCTGGAAAAAATCATAATTATGAGTTGCAGTCTATGTTTAATAAAAATTACGGAAACTAATATCATAATTTCAACTGTTAGTGTGAACTTCATATCACCGTTTAAATTTCGAAAAAACTTAAAACGTATTTTGTTTAATTTAGATATTGAAAAAATGACAGTAAAAAACTACACACTCTCTTGCACTGTCAAAATGATGTTCGAATATGCCTTTGACTTACCATAAAATCAAAAACGCTAAGACCAAGTAATTCGAATAATAAGCACACATGGCCATGATAATCGAAATTATCAAGGAGTTGTATGACCAAACTGAAAAAAAAAAGATTAAATTTTTTAGTTTCATATGATGCACATACGCACATATTTCAATTTTATATGATATATTCGAAAGGAGAAAATTCTTACAATTTTCCACTCGGATCTTTCTCCTGTAATTTGTTTAGTACATTAATCTCAAGACGTGCAGCTTCGCGATATTTGCTTACATTTTTGATAACCTTTAATGCAAACTGTCGACCACCTTTAGTACCATCCTTAACTTGCACCACCTTACCGAATGTTCCTTCACCTAATGTACGTACTATTTCATCTAAAATAAATTAGGAAAAATAACCAATAATGTTTGCTTTTGTTTAGAAGTAATGAAGAAATGAAACATGAAAGGAAATGAAAAATATGACCAAAAAAGAATTAAAATGGGCAAATAAAAGAACGAAAAATGATAGCTAGATAAAAGATCAAAGTAATTAAATAACGGCTATGATAAAATAAAGGTTATGATAGGAGTAACAAATACATTCCTGAATTATATAATTTCATCAGATTTTCACTAAAATGGAACAATTCAGATTGGAAATCAATTTAAGAATTTAAAAAAAAAATTAATTGGGAAATTCAATAGCAATAGACTTGACGAAAATTAAGACTAAAGGAAATATGACCACTTTTCGATAGCTCAACGAACATAAAGTCATGGAATCCTACTATTTTCAGTAAATAAAAAACCAATAACACACATCTTCCTTGAATAATATCACCATCCTGATAAATAAGATGGCCATCACGATCGTCCTGTACGACTGGTCGTGCTACCGAAGGTGCAACAGAACTTGATGGCGTTTGTCCAGCTCCAGTTACATGTGACTTCGATGAAGATGCCGGTTGTAGGCGATCAGAGCGATCACTCTGAAATGTCTAAAATATTGTGGAAATATATGAAAATAAAATTTATCTTAAGAAGTTCAAATTCCACTGCAATACTGTATCTTGACTGATCTGGAAAAAGATGTTAAAAATCGCTTCCTTCAATCTCTGTATTCCGCATTTCTATTATTCTAGGAAAAATATGCTGATACGATTAGAAAGTTCAGCCTAACCAAAAAAAAAAAAGTTGCTTTCTTTGATTAGACAATTAATGCCTGAAATTTTGCAAAAGAAAGTGCACGATGAATTCGAAATATCCCGTTATTCACTAACATCATTAGGTAAATTTAAGGTTAAATTAAACTACTGGGATATAATTGCAAATTTGGATACACAAAAAAGACAAAAATCAATTTTTTATCGATTTTAAATGAATAAAAAAGTAAAGTGGGATATAGTAACTTTCAACAAGTTCTTAGCCGAGCCTCCTTTATTTTATTCGTTCCAAAATAACTTTTCCGCTCACCAGAAAACAATCCAAAGATTTCTGCTTATGGGAAAATCCGATGTAATATCGAGAAACAAAATACAGCCAAAAATACGGAAAAGGACTAGAAGATAGAGCCTTTAATCCCTAGTGATAAATGATCCTGATTCTTTTCACAAACTCATCTGACCCTAACACCTCATAGGAATGTTTTAAGTGGTGAGAGATTTTCAGAGCATTTTCAAAAAAGTTAAGGTCGGCAAACGTATTTACGGTTATTCCAACTAACCAATTGATATTAACAACGAATCTTACGCTTTATAGTGATCAGTATTGTGACCTCTTTCTAGTGACCAATATTAAGAGTTTGTTTAGAGATACACAGTATTACATGATGGAGTACAGAGTCACCTGATCTTTGGAATGAAGACAAAAAATCAACTTTATATATTCTCCAAAAATATCCAAGAAAGGAAACTAGATTAAACTGCTAAGTCCGGGAGTCGAAAAATCATACAGACAGCTTTGAAACAAAGACCAGTACTGCCTGCACAAGAAGTCGAGCGTTGTCCGATGAAAAGTTGCAGTTTGAGACGTTTTTATTTAATAATGAAAAGGTTATGATAAACAAATTTTTCAGGATAGAGAAAATTTTCCTGTTTCGTAACATCCTAAATAGCATTGGAAGTATATCCATCTAGCAGTAAACACACAGGAATGTGGGCAGCTTATACATAAGCAACAATAAATTTGATTGAATAAAAATCCTGTCAGAGATATTAATTGAAGAAACCATACCCTAACGCAACGAACAATCTTCCGCTTGGTTATATTTCTCTACTTTTCTTCCAAAAAGAAAACACTGATGATTTTGATACTTCTTCCTTGGACTTCTACACACCTACTTGATAAACATTTTAAGAAATGGTTTCCCAATCGTGAACGTTAGGCACATTCTGAAACACTGTCAACAGGCAGCGAATATCATTTGAAAAAGCGAATATGCATCGCAAATTGAATTTAAGCATAATGCGGATGTTCTGAATGTTTATCAGAACTGACTGATGGAACTGGAACCATCAAAGAGTGTATTTCTTATATCAAGGAAAAATAAAACAATACCGAATTAATGGGAGCATGATTGGAATATCGTTCTTTTTCTTTCCGATCAGCATTTGCAATAATTCGATCCACCTTTGCTCTAACGGATGCTGGTAGCTGAAGGGTAGCAAGCAAGGAACTATGCGAAAATAATTTAGTTGGAGGTTTTGGCTTTTGAATGGATGATGGTTGTACTACGGTAATCCCGGTAGATTGTGGTACCATTTTTCGGGGTTTTCGTTGTCTACTGTTACCACTAATACCGATGCTATTATTATCATTATTTGCTGAGCTTATATTTAGCGTTTGCTGTAGTACTGGTACAACCCGTTTCTCCGTTTTATTAACACCACTTCTTATCGTAACTTCACTTGTTCCTCCTCTAACTCCTTCTGCACCTCTTGTTCCGACAACAGTTGTAGCACCTGCCTTACTTGCTTGTTCAGCAATAGCTTCTCGTTCTTGCTCATTTTGCTGTGGTTCAAATGTTAGGGTTGAAAAAGCAGCTGTAACAGCTGTAACCGTATTCTGAGCCTTTCGTTCGGCCGTTTTTTCCTCTTCTCTTTCATCTAAATTACTTCCTGATGGTAAATTGACATATTCTCGGTGATAATCCTTCCGACCGCTATCACAACCTTCGTGATATTTTGCACAACCTAAGAGACGTCGCTTAATGAGCGGTGTTTCGATGGTAGTTGTTCTTGATAGCACAACACTGCGAGAAGCCAAATTACGCGGTCGTATCCTAGAGGTGGTTGGGGGAGTGGGAGCACGTAAAACAACTTCTACCAAACTTTCTCCCTCTTCATTCACATCTGGGATAACATGATCCGAATAATTAACAGCTATTCCATCTTTGTTCATTACCAAATCAAATGCTTTTGATAATTTTCCGTTATCTTTAAATTCCACTTTCATATCTTCATCTTTTCGAACTACTGATTTCGCCAATCCACCAAACAACACTTCTTCTTTGGGTTTTGATCTTTTCGACGTCTGAAGTGAAGCGAACTCCTTCCTCGTTTTAGCTTCAACCGTCATCGCCGAATCATCAAAGGAACTCGCTTCAGGTATTGCAGCAATGGGTGCTGCATGAGCAGAAGGTGCAAATGAAGATGATGGTTTTTCTGGAGGAAATGGCCTTGATAGATCTTCCCAATGATTGTAACTTCGGTACAATATTGGATCGGAGAAACATCGACGCAGACTAGCAATAAGCTTCGTATTACGTCTCCTAGATACATAATTTTTATATTTCCTTCTTCGTGGAATCACCACAATTGGCATTCGCCGTAGACTGTCAAAACCATGGCGTGGCATTTTTATGTGGTATTGTTCCGGTAATTTAGACAACACTCCGTTAAAAATAAAAGACAGATGTTGTGACGGACTTGAGCGTAATGATGTTGATATGGATGAAGAGGGTAAAATAGAGGCGTGAAATGAAGATTGGTGAAGAACAGGTGACGGTACCAAGGTGGCGTGTTGCGGGATCCGGTGTGAGTAATAGTGTTTAATTACAGGAGTATGGGTTGATAAGTCCAAAGAATTGGATAATTTCCCAAAATTCGACTTCGTAAGATGATTATCCGGTTCCTTAAGCTGTGTCAATGAAAACCGGCAAAAGCCATTCAGCGGATATTGTGGGAACACAGCGGCTACTCTCGGTGAATTTGGTGGTGTTTGGACCCACTTGGAAGGGGCCAACGGGGATAGAAGCTGGGAGGATGAAATATTGGCTGTTTGAATGTAAAAGCACCACCACTATCGCTATCACTACGGCTACCGCCACCACCACCACACCACCACCACCACCACCACCACCACCACCACCACCACCACCACCAATACTTAGGCAATAGCGAACGCTGGAATAATAATATAACAGCACCAAATTTCCACCAGATAATTATTCACACTTGACCTCATCCATGATGTAATTCATTCAAATTTGGCATGAATCGAATTACGGTAGTATGGAATGATGGTGATCGGGACAAGGTAGTAAGAAAATAATGCAAGTATCAATAGCTACACCACCTTAGAATAGAGCAGCATGCATATAATACTTAACACCGCAAAGTGGTAGTTCAAATAAAAATATGCCAGCAATAAGAACTGATTCTCAAGATAATGTAAAATCAAAAGTAAGGAGTTAATAGTTCAGTTTGTTGACTGATCGGTACGTTGATGAGTTTAGTGAGCAAGCAAAGAAACAGGAAGAATGAAATTGCTGCACCTACTAATGCTATTGCTCAGGGAAATTGTTGCTTCGAATCAAGAATAAAGGAAAATCCTCATCGGATATGACAGCCGCGTTTCTCTTAGCTTTCTAACTTTCAGCGCTCGAAATTCTGGTAAAGCTCCGGGATGATGATGGACGGCTGCTTAATGCTGTTAACTGCATAACGGAGGATATGACAATGTACGGTGGTAGATGATGCTCAGCTCATCCCACAGAATTTGTTTCTCATCAGCAATCTGTTCTATATCATCTACTCTCTTCACTCTTCTTCATCTCACTACCTCGAATATCCCGAACACGAAGGCAATGATTGAATCCTTTGTTTTCTATTAGTTTTGTTGTCTTCTTCAACTTCAATTTCACTTCCAATACGAAGCTCCAAGAAAGCAAATATCTCTTGAAATACCTAAATGCACAACACTACTTCCTGAAATTCATCAATTGTGATGTTCCATCTCATCTACCTAGCTAAAATGTAACATTCCTTTAATTTCTACCTCTTCTCCCTACTATAGTTCTAAACTTTTTGCAAAAATTCATACATATATTTTTTTTTTTCTTATATACTTTATTTACGTAATGAAAACAGAGCATTTCAACACTTCCCTGAAAGTAAAATCAAACAGTTTTAGATAGTAAATACCAAAAACTTAACATTGAAAATGCATTTGTTTTTTACTGAATTCATTTCTTTATAATGTTTATCCAAAATCACAAATTAACTACTTAAGAGATTAAAGATTTCAACGATTCACATAATTTTCAAGAGGTTTTCATAACTGGAAACTTCCATTTGAAAACCAGTTTTGGGATGACGAAAAAATCACTGCATTTAATAACATATTTGCTGGTTATCTTATAAAATATTAGCTGCGTTCAACACCATCTTCTTTAATCTTGTGATTTAAGTGTTATCTGTTTTATCTAACTTTATCTAACATATGTTCATAAAGCGATCTTTCTCTCCCTAAATCTTTTCATATATGAATATCATTCTCTCATTCCTCCTCGGCAGAAAAATTAAGAAAATTAATGCCAAAGTGCTATAAAACAATCTAAAAGTAAAATAGAGTAATTTCTGAATTGCAACAAAGAAATGGTAGCAAGACATAAAAGCCTCAAAAACAGGATCTATAAAAGACGTAAAAGACTAAAGAGAAGATTATGCTAACATAAAAAAAGGAGTAAAATATTGTCAGTCGTTGAAAGTTAGGATGACTTAATTTATGCTTTAAATTAAGGCAAGCCATTTAGATATTTAGTTATTTGCAATGTCAGAAAATATGAAAAGTATCTGGAAGAGGATTTAAAAAACAAAAAATGCTTTACATGAAACATTTTACTCCCGAAAACATTTCCACGTTACACGTTTGTTACATGTTTCATAATACAACAGTAGCACCTGAACGCAACAACACACAACACAACATCTCAATGATTTTTAGCAATTGGAAGTTATACAGCACAGAAACCAAAGTCAAATATTTGAATAATGTTGAAAATGAAAAGCAAAATTAGATTCTGTCAATGAACAACTAAATTATTTTGTTCTCCAATAAAAATATACATCTTAAAAGTCAAATATTCGTGCTCTGAAAATATTTCTGCTCTTAAAATCAACAGTTTATAAAGTTTCGGAAACTTTTATGATAAATAACTGAAGCTTCTTTTTCAGTTCATTCACAATCTTAATCATGAAGTATATCTGTAAAACTTGTCTTATACTATCCAAATATTATCATTTGCAATCGAAATGCAACAGTAATATATTTTTCTTACAAGTTTCAAGCAAACCGTAGTAGCACAATTTCGTTTTACTACTAATCTCATACTTAATGGTAAAGCTACCTACAACATCAGAAAACTAGTATTATTTACAATACACTGTTCAAAAATGGTTATGTGCTGTACTTATTCAGGTTTGAATATTTGCTCAATTATGCTATTCCAAAAAAAAAAAAAAAAAAAAAAAAAATCGGCTTTAACAATCTAAATGATAAGAAAACATAATGGGTAATCGTGTAATCATAATTAGTATTTTGATAAAATTTTAATTACGTAATACAAAGTAAACATGCGCACAAGAATGCCCAACAAATGAATTTTCTATCATAAAGACGAATTCCAAGCGGAAGTGTTTATTTAACTACACTAAAAATGAATCACTTGTCATTTGTCAAGAAAAATAAATTAACTGATATTAGGACAAGTTTCGGAACATATTTTTGGATTGTCGCCTGCATGCTTCTGATTGCATGGATGATACTACTGCAAGTTCTGGTGGAAGAAAAAAAAACTCAATTCTATACGCATACACATTTTTTTTTTTTCAAATCAATTAACATCAATTAGCTGGCTGGAACAGCGTTTATGTCTCCTCCATCGCCATAATATAGGAGTAACACTAGCGTATATCAGTTTTTCAAAAAGAAGCACACGTTGTTAACCATTTTCCAACATATATTTTATTTCGCTATGTCATGTATATTGCCGATAGCTAGTTTAATGGGTTATTTGATCCAAAATACTACTAATTCATTCCAGCAAACTTTTTTTGTTTCAAAAAAGTGATACCCGTATTTTATATGATGCATCAGAAAACCGCAAATATAACGCAGAAGTGTCGAGCTGTACCGAAGCATAGTGTTTCATGTCATCAATCTGCCATATACTAACCGATATTTTAATTACCGATCATTTCAGATTGAATAGTTGACGTTGTTAGTAGGAAACTAAATGATTTACAGAGAAAACAGTAATAAACAAACAATTTGTCACATAAAAGTTTTTCATGTCTTTCCCTTCGTTAGTATTATAGGATATTATGTTGAAACTTAGTGAAGCTGGAATGCGATTACCGCTCTTACTGATGATCAAAACATTTCAAACATCAGCTATGACTATATGCTTGAAGTGAGAAAAAAAATTTTCAACCCACATTAATTATTTGTATTTTTCTGTAATAACATAGTAACCATATTGGGAGGAAATACTCAATTACTCTTAAATTTCGCTCGAATTATTGCGGATTTCATTTTTAATAACTTCTCTCATAACTACATCAACAGTTTACACAGGTACTACAAAAAACATACTGGATCCTACATTCTTTATTTCTATTATCCGTCTTACATAGCAGTACGATTAACAAAAAACTTGTCCTGTTCTGGACATGCTTTACAGCGTACCGTTTGTTTATTAAATTGAGCTATTTTCTGAAATGATGTCACTCAGATCCACCTGAATATATTAAATGATGTAATGTGAGGATCCGATAATTCAAAATTCTAGAAATGGGAACAGTTAAAGAAATATGGGACCAAAAATGTGAAAAGAGAAAAAAGCTACAAAATTGTCTTCGATATCTTAGCTGACTCAAATTTAGACGACGTTTATTAAACATCTGGTAGTAGAAGAAAAGAAACTCTACGAAGAGCAGCTTATCATTGTTTCTTTTTTATACAGTATTGTACTAGTTACCACATGAGACCAAAATATATGTAATCTCCAGTGAAATTTGACTTTAACTCCAATAAATCATTACCAATAGTCATCGGAACAACATCAGATACCGAAAGCTACTGATAAAAATTAAGTAGAATAAGTATTACTATTCTTCTCTACTGTTAGTTTTTTAATAGCCCTCACAAAAGTTTAATCAACGTGTAGAAAAACTCTCTGATCTTACAGTCGCACTGAATAAATCTATATAGTGATGACTTAATATTATATGAACATCTCAAAATAATAATTTGTTATAGTCGTGTTGTTTCATCTAGAATTTTTCGAGTAAGATATGTCGAATTCCATGATGCATTACAACATCCATACTTAAAAATTATAACTTGAGACCAGGATCACTTACATAAGCTGATATAATAACACTGTTGTTTCTTTGCTTCTTCCTCAAATACCTTACCCATAGTAAAAAATACAAACATTAAAAAAAAATACGAAAATTCCCTTAATAAATGCCTTTTTCATTACTACATGGAAAAAATTAATCACCTTGTTGCTGTCCAAAATATAAAAATAATTTTCACAGCGAAATGTATACCAAAAATAAGTGTAAAATGAAGCCTAGGATAATGCAATATGCCTTTCACAGTATAATGAAATGGAAAGTAAAGCTGTCTTTTATCATTCAGCGCTTGGAAATGCTGACTAGTAATGTACGAATGCGGAGAAAGATTAACCGGGTAACTTCTGTGATTAGACGTGCTGAATCACAAGCCTGAAATCCCTAGGATAAAAAGAAACTTACGAAGTGATCAGAATTTTTTTTATTCCACGATCGTCTACGGGCGCGCCGATTGCGTGATTCATTCCGTCGATGTCGTTCTGAACTATTGCATGGCCGTTTGTAACGACGATCAATACTACTAGAGGACCGTTCAATGCGACGTCGACGACCGCCACCCATTTCAAAGCGAAATTCGCCTATCAGTTCTCAAATCCTTGGGACAACAAATGTAACAGTACCCAACGCTAAAATTAGATTTTGTCCTTTGATGACAGAAACAGTGTTGATTAGATGGAACGTAAAACAGTCACGAACAGTTACTACATTTCTTGAATTAAATTATCATTACAGAGCAGATATGGCATATAGTGGTCTTGAAAAGACCAGCACAAGTTTAACTTTCCAATGTATAACCGAAAAAGTCAGACCTTCAGCACAACTTTGCAAATCATGCTTTTACCTTAAAGTTTTTTTTAAGGATGCAGCATAATTCAGGTAACTTCGATGCCAGAAACATATAGAAATAATTGATAAAATGACTATTTGAAAAAAGAGCCTATTATGAAATTGTTAATCGTTTCTAATTTTATCATAAATGCCTCTAAATAAGCAAAATCTTCACTTACTTAAAATTCGGCGATGACACATACCGTCAGTGATAACCTTTCAACAGTATATATACCTTTTAGTAATAAACACGTATTAAAAATATTAACAAAAAAGAATCCTCAAAATTTATACGATGATAATTTTATATACCCATAAATGCTAGAATATCTAAAGTATGCGGAATGTGTCAAATATGAATATAGAAATGAAAAAAAAAATAATAAGAAGAAGAAGAAGAATAATAATAAACGTAACACTAAAACGTTCTGAAATTTTGAATTTAAATTTGAAAAAATTTCCGAAATTCAAAAGTGAAACTTACGGCAGATCTAAAATAAAAGTAACCTAACATGTGCCTATCACCTGGCAAAACCCCGTCATTCACTCTCTCCAGCCAAAATTTAAAGTCCATTCCAACCAACAAAAATAATACACGGCGGACACACATTCAACAGACAAACATACACGTACACATGCACATACACATACACACATACACATACATACATACACACGTATGCGTGCACACACCGTACAGACTTACCAGTTTATGGTGTCAGATTATTGTGTCAGTTATTCAAGTAGCTGTTGCAGCATTTTATTCTACAATTATAGGATATTTATGCAACCTTTTCCGATGGAAGATTGTACAATATCTTTCTGCCACCAAACTTTATGACAACCATAGCGTAAGTAAACAGGATGCAAATGCCATCTTACTACAACTGTTAAAGCTATGATGCCATATGATCGTAAGAATCGAAATATTCGAAAATTACTATCATCGTTGTTATTAGCAGAATTTATTATATTATCGACTTATTACAGTATTGGAACAATTTCAAAGTATGATGCTTCTGGAAACGGTACTTCCGGACACTCAGGAAGTGATGTTTTTGACAGACTCTGGCAGCAGGGTTCTTAATTGAAGAGGTAGTCTTTTAAAGGAAGTTTCCTTTTCAAAGAAGTGGTATTATTTGATGGAGCACTCAGTGCTGTTTCTGTCTATTTTTCTCTCAATGATTTATCGTTTCAGGATGTATGCAAATATTCTCAACTTTTTTTTGGTATCTCTGGAAATAATTTGATCAAATTATATCCATTAATTGGTTGCATAAGAGAGGAAGGATGATATCGCCTTTTTCCACCATCAGTTAAAGATAACAATAAACTTTACAATCACATTTTTATAATCAGTTTTTAAGTGGTTTTTTTTTTCTTAAGTTGATAAGCAAATGCAAAAATTGGCCTGATTAACAATATTTTTTTTTTTTTTTTTACAAATGACAGGATGAAATGAATACCAATGCCGATTACGAGTATGCCACCACCCGGTTAATTGCACGTGAAAGTTGTATATTGATGGCATCAGGAAAACGAGCAGTATTCAGACGTAATGAAGATAGCAAGTCTTAGGAAATAAAGTTCAAACGAAGTTAGAATAAAGATATTACCTGTTTAAAAGACTCTTTCTAAATGAATCTGTCATAATATAAGACTGTAAGATATATCAGTCTACTTAAATAAATCATAGATCGAAAACAAAGAAAAATATATAGAAACAAATTACACTTCGAATACGTTATAGAACGAAATATTGAAGAATATGAAGAATAAATGTTTCGTGACTTTTCCAGGACTCGATAATTTTATCAGAAATTATTGAAATTTCTCTTGTAATGATTAAGCAACAGCTACCGTTTGCTTTCGTTGGATTTGCGGCACAAATACTAACATCAAACCTGATATCAGCAGTGCTACACCACAGAACACAAATGACATATTGTAGGAACCAGTTAAGTCAGCTAATTGTCCTGCAATTTGTCATTTTTTCAATCAGATATATTTTCAATTTATGTAGTGGTGATTTTATATCAACAAAGGTCATTTTGTGATTCATTTCACTGTTAAGTGATAATGCTGTAATTATGAAGAACAGTAATTTAGATGTTTCGCTAGTGAATGAATGAATACAACTTTAGAAATATGGAATTCATTTTAAGATTTCAGTACTTTTTTTTTATTTTTTATGCCAAAATTTTTCCGCTGAGTAACGTTTAAGCCTACGTCTTTGAAAGAATTGTTGTAAACGATATAATTTTGGACAAGATAATAGCGTCAATTTTTAATTTTTCAAAATTCTTACCAGATATAGGAGGTCCTATAACAGTACCAATACCTTGGAAAAGTAAAATTAAGCCAAACGCATTCGTCAATTTCTCAATACCAATTAAATCGACAAGCAATACTGACGTAAGGCATACGTAGGACGATAACGTTAATCCAAATAAACCGGAGTACATCTGCAGAGCACCTTATTATACTTTCATGGACAAATTAATCTAAGCATTGATAATCATTTTTGCTTCTTCTCTCTCTTATTCTAATCCGATAGTAATTATCATTAGAGCTATTAAGATTAGCACCGTTCATCTAAAGAGATCTAATGCAGTACGAACTGGATTTCTCCATAAGCTATTTCATGAGATTTCTGGGTTTCGGTACATCTGGTCGATCTCGGAAAAACTTCTTTGCAAATAGATTTCCGATGCTTTTAAACTTACAGCTAAAGTTATATAACCATCGCAAAAAAGTACGCCGGTTGTTAACAAACCACATAAAGTCAATGATGATACATAGATCCATAGCCTATTTTGTGCTCTATCTTTCCCATATTTGCATGGCAATTTACGATCTGATATTAATCCAACCAAAATTCGTCCAACTGTATTCATAATACCTGAAAGAGTGGAAATTTTTGAAATTTTGGAACTTACTATTAAATATAATAAAGTTTAAAGAAAGTTCCAGTTCTTTTTGTTTTATATTTTACTATACAATACTTTTTATGATTCTATCTAATCGTGTTATTTTCAAGAAAATCCTCCTCTTCATATTAATTACCTGAAATTTTATTGGATATACTTAATAGTGGTAAGAGATAAATTAAATAGCAGGAAATTTTTGACAAAGGCAATTCACTTCACTTCCTTCTCCGCTTGAATTTATGCTAAGAATTTGATCACTAATAATTAATGATAAGTAATGCAAACTTGAACACAAAATTTAAATTAGAATTGAGAGCTAGTCTAAGCTTGTGATCTTATATCAATCTGACGTTTCACAGACTCATTAGCTAATGATTCAATTAAAATATAGATTTAATTAAGCTTTTCATTAAAAAAAAAATGTGCACTTGCCGAATGCACTAATAACACTTGCAGATTGTGTAGGAGTTAGACGAAGATTGGTTGCATGTGAAGGCAAGAAAACAAGTGGTGAATTAAATGCGATGCTTGTTAGCAGATTTGAAATTGCATAAAGTAGGAATATTGGATTAGCAAGTAATGAGATATTTGTCATTTTCTCCATTGTTCTGCAAGTGACAAAGATTTGCCGTACTTGGGTACCTTCAAACGGTACCCTAACACATTAACATCTGTAGTTGTTCTTGAAGTAATTTAGCATTGACAAAATAATATTAGTAAAAACGTCTTGCAAATATCTTTGATCCATCTTTAATCGATCATACCATATCAAAGGATCAAAGATGATCTTGCTACCCAACTTCAACCTTTGGAAAAATTTTTAAATTGCAAAGATATTTGAGAATTAGCAAATGATATAATTGCAATTAAGACTATTCAATGCAACAGAGATTAGATAAGGAAGGCTTAGAACATTCTGATTTTAAGATTTCCAGAAGTATCCATGCGTTATATACTTAACAGAAAAAAAAAGGAACTAAGTTTGCTGAATGTAACCTGCTAATTAGTCTTATTATTGCTTCCGGCAAACCATTCGCACATTATAATTTATTTTTCTTTTCCGTCTACGTACAGTCCAATTACAATTTGAGGCATACCTCAAAATTCCTCTTGTTTTGCTAATTTTTTCCTCTTCTTTCAAATTCAACTTATCATCCTTTATATTGAGCGATGTAAGAGATCGATGACATTCAGTCTGTGGTAATTCATTCATTGAACCCGTATAAAACACATCCTGAATTAAAAAAAAAAAAAAGGCTAGTACAGTGCTAATTAATCTTGCATTGTAAGGTATTCTATGGATAACATCTTATTGAATATCATACTTCATATTCGTCTTACAATATTAAATTAGAGCATAGAAATAACAAATCAAAAGTTTAAATATCATTAATGAAATATAAAACAATGAAAAAATGAGACATTAGCATACTTTAACAGCAATAAATCCTGTAGATTCTGAAAATCTTCGACTTCTTCCATGTGAAATGTTGCTGGCTAACGATTTCGATCGTTCCCATTTTCCATTCTTCTCTTCGACATCATTAATATCTTGTTGATTATGTGATGCAAGCAAAGTGGTTGATAGAGGACCATTTTCTTCATCCTAATTGTAATAGAATATTAGTGACGTAGACATAATATCATTAGAAGTTTTAAGGATTCTCTAAACTAATTTTAGAAGCATTCAAAGAATATTTATTTAATGTATGCAAACACAATAATTAGCTGTAATAAAACAAAAAGAAAGTACGATGAAAGTGAAGTGCTGATGCACCATTTCAACGAATCCATTCTTTTCATCTTCTTCGAGTACTTTTTTCTTTTTTGTTTCATCTTCTACAGCAACAAATGTTAACGATCGAAAAGTGGCACCACATAAAGAACACATTAATACAATTACTGTAAAACATGTTAATATCACATTTGAGATAAAACAAGAAAATATCAAAAGGAAATCAATTGTCACTGTCATACTGTCAGGAACAATTATGAATGGCATTTTTTGAATGAATAAAATGATCTGAAATTACTGGAAGTAAATCATAATAGTTTACCCGTATAAACAGCGAAAACAGTTCTCCAGGAAATCTTAATGAGTGCTTCACTGATTGGTGCAAATACGACTGTACCAACACCAGCACCACATACTGCTATACCGGTAGCCATAGATCTGAGAAGCAAAAAAAAAAAAAAAAAGAATTGAATTGGTTGAGTAATTCCATTTTTGAATCATAATATAGAATAATGTAAGAATGAAGTGCTATATGTCAGTGAAGGAATAATTTCAGTGTAAAAAAGAAATTTCTTAATAAAATTATATCATAATAAGAATTTGTCAAACTACTGTAATTCACACAATTTGAAATACTGTAACAAATTATTGTTCAAGCAATTATTTCACTGTAAACAAACTATACGAACCTTTTCTTTTCGAAATACATACTAACAATGACAATAGCCGGACAGTACATTAAACCAAAACCGATGCCCATCACACAACCTACCGAAACCATCAGATATTCCACTGAAGTTGCATAATAGGATGTAGCACAACTGAAATGATACAGAGTATATCTCTCGATGTACGACAATTAAATACCTTTTCCTTCAAAATTATTCCAGCAGTTAATTAAGATTACTAAAACAGCAGAAATCACTAAATCATTAAGAGATATAATTAGTTTTGAATTCTAGGAATAGAAGAAGAAATAATCTAAATCTTTGAATTTCCCTTTTTTTAACGCTTAGAAAATAATCACGAGTGATGGTGCTAGTATGCTAAAAATCGGATAGATAAAAGAACTCATTGCTGGACTAAAGATGAAACAAAGCTAAGTTAAATAAGCAAAGCTTTGGTCTTGGCTGCTTACAGAACACTAATAAATTGTTCTTCGTATTGCAATCAATGATCTAAGAATCGCTGTAACTAACAAAATTTGGTTATTGATCAGCTATTGATACAATTATGATCTGATAACTAAGTCTCGAATTGATGGTTGAACAGAGAGAAGAATAAAAAAACAAATTATCTTTTCGAACAGAAATCCAGTCACACCTTTCTTTCCAACTGATATACGTCTTCTAATCATTAAAAAAAAGATAAGGAAAAAATAGTTTATTAAGCTAATTTTCACAAGGACATAACCCTGTGGTTGCGATCAATGATCCCAGAATTGTTGTCACCCGACATCCAAATTTATTTGTTATTGCACTGGCTATAGGTCCCATTCCAAGGGTTAAACCTGTTAATAATGAAATTATCATCGATGCCTTAGCATTACTCACATCAAATTCCTGAAAGTTATGAAAGATCAGAATTTCGAATCAGTCAGTATAATTTAAAGACTGATATGTTCGAAAAAAATGAGAACAAAATCATCGAAAAGTTCATCAAATCTGTTGTTACCAGCAAATCTTTTATATTTCAAAAATTTCCAATTAAAAAACTCAAAAAATGAAACCTTCATGATAATTTCGAGGAGAATGCCAAATGAATAAACAATACCATCGGCAAAAACATGAATGAAAAATGAGCCAACAACAACGACCCATCCCCAGCCACCGTCAACGATTGGTACATACTGCATATTACCTTCTTTTCTCTCTTCCATTTCGTCTTTCTTCATTAAAACACTCTGCAAAGTTTTTTTTTTCTTCGCATTTTCGGAACTTCACGTGAAAATCTATTAAACCGATATGTATGGTAAAATATTTTAGTCTTTCTGGTGTAACCAGTTCGTCTTGTGCTGTCATTTCAATTAGCGCCTCTGACATCATTTGCTCATTTATTCCTGCGATCTTTTGTAGCGAACAAATTTGATGAATTAGTCGCTGCATAAGGATTTCATTTTCAAACATAGTTCTAATGGATGAAAAAAAAAAAAAACTATGCCTATAACCAAACGCCAAATAAGATAAAATTATTCTTATTCTAAGGGTAAAGGTTAAAGGTGGAAAGTTAGAATAGCAAACACGAATGCAACAGGGAAAGGAAAGAAAAAAAAATCTTTTTGTGAATATTTTAAAGAAGAAATGGACGATGCAAACGATCAGAATGAAAGGAATAAATAACAGACTTTTATATGACCTTTTTGTCAACCATTTCTTGTTGTTATCATATCATTTGTAAACTTTTCATTGCTAATATTACATTTATAATTGATAGAATAAAACTGCCATAAATGCTAATTATATGATAAAATATCAGGCAAAACTGAGAGACATTTGTTTAAGTTCAAATAATTTAAATGATTAAAAAAAAGGACGTACAGTAGATGCAATGCCTGTTAGCTTAACTAAAAATTGTTTCATCAAAAGATTAAAATATTTGAAAAATTTTCAGTTTTTGGCACAATTTATAAAAATGGAAATGTTCGTAATGTCATGAAAAGATAATGAATTTAAAGTGACTGTTTACCAAAGAAAATATGCGATATCAAAATGTCACGCATAATTTTATCAAAAGTAACTTTTTGCTTTGGCTTTTTTTCTTCATGTATTAATTTACTGAATGCAAATAAATCAATGATACAGCTGCTATTTAGAAGTTAAATTGATGAAAAAGTTGGAAATTTGAGAAATATTTTTTATCATTGAAAATTAAGCACACTGTTTATTTAAACAATTACCAAGCAAACTGATAAATTCTAAACGTCGAATGATGATATAGCTGCAGTACGCTTTAATAGTAATATTGAAGTATGTGAGGTAAACTTGAAATTTCATTTAAAATAATCATTATTATTAAATAAGCTCAACAACAGATCTCCGTCTCAGATGTCATTCTTTTTTTTTTTTTTTTTTTTTTTTTTACATTTCTCATTTTTGTTTGATTTGGTTGGAAGGATAAATCTGTGAGCAAAAACAAGGATAAAATAATATATGAAAAAGTGATGCGACATTATGTGACCAGTAGAATGTCTTTTTAATATTATATTGCATCTGATTTGCTACCTTAGGAAGAGATAACCATGGTATTCGTTATCTTTTGGGTATAAAACAGAAGTAATGATAAATAGATACGGAATAAGTTCTTGAAAAAATTTATGGGTAATTAGTCTAGTTGCACAAGAAATAAGATAAGATTGATTCCTCGGTATACTGATGATTCGTTCAATTATGCTTTTAAGTTGCGAAATGGTCAAAGTATAAATATATATATATATTAAACTGAAACAAATTGGGAGAAAAAAAAGCGGAAATAAATTGTCGATAATAGCAATAAAAAAAAACAGATTTAAAAGAAAAAAAAAGGAGAGAATTGGTTGAAGGAAATGAAAAGTAAGTAATTTTTATGATCATTTCCCAACATGCTAGTTAACTTACCTGAGGCAAATTGGATTAAAATTTTACACCTTGCGAAATGAACGTGGGGACACTTATGTTGAAACATAAATTCGATCGTAATGAAAAAAAAAGGATAGTTAAAACAAGAAATGAATAAAAGAAGGAAACCAAAAAATGAAACGTTTGCAAATTCCCGGGAAGTGATGAATCAAGAAGCTAATAATTTTAAAAATTTTCTTTAATATTTAGATAGCTAATTGCGCAATTCCAAAATTCACAGGTTTTTATGGGTAAAGAGCAATCATCTTAATAACAGCACTTGCAGAATACCAAATTGCATGTAAAGCATTTTTGGTAGGATACTTTGTCATTCTGAGAGAGAGAAAATATTAAAAAAATATGGTAAGGATGATTGCTTATCACACATGCATTTTGTTATCATATCAATACATAATCATAATGAGAAGAAACGAGGTATTGAAGAGACTGGTAAAAAATGATAAACAAATGTTAAGTTTACAGGAACAGTAAATGAAATGGCAGTAAAGTTTAAAAATTTGATTAGTGAAAAGGGAGAAGAAAAAAAGGAAGCGACTGAAATGAAAAAATAGTACACAGCGAGTCAGATAAGAAAAAATAAAAGTTTAGGGTGAAAAAGGGAAATTATGTCTAATATGAAGGCTTGAAATGATTTTCAAGAATCAACAGTTATGTGTTAAAATTTTAGATTTTTAAAATTCTAATTTTCCTAAAATGACACTGACCGGTTGGATGAGAAATGAAACAAAGAAATAATGCAATATGTATAGAAATGCAACTAGTAAAGTGATAACGGCGGAGTGCGCGATGGTGCAAACAAATGAGAAATAATCTTGAAAAAGTGAGTGGAAGTTAGCTGAATGAAAGAGAGCGATATTGACTAGGACCATTTGTCTCCAATGCTACAATATTGCATTATCCTATTTCAATACCGATCACTAGCTTTTGCGGTGTTTGTTCAGTTGGACGACAATTGCGCAGATTTGTTATTGAAGCGAGTTCAAATTCATTTCTTCTATATCTGTGGTGTGATCGCACGAGGTAATAAATTAACTGAACTGAAATGGATAAACCAGAAGAGAGATGATATAGAGGAAAGTACTAGCAAATCCCCTCTGAATTCCTCTTTTCTGATCCGGCTTTTTCCGATCTCCGGTTTCCTCTCTTTTTCTCTCTCTCCATCGCTGCTGGATGCATGTCTCTTTGTTCTTTCCATAAATGTCTAGCAGTTCAAAAATTTGAAATGTTAAAATTGGATGATCTTTCCCGGCAAAAATCTTTCCAATTTGCCTACTTGGGTTTATGTTAATGATATTTTTAAGCATCCATACAACTGCCCAAATGAGGGTAAGTTTCGCAATTGTGCTTATAGGTAGCCGTTATCCTGGGAAATTCTGATTTAAAATTTGTATTTCTGGGAAAAGTTAGTGAATTTCACTTACAGCAATTTTCCCCATCCTTTTATCTTCCCGGTATAAATGCAAACTGAAGATCGGACAACTAATTAGCTCTGTAATCTTAAAACAATATTTCAGTAATTCTGTAGTTTTAAAAAGCAGCTTCTTTTTTATTAATGTTTTCAAATCACTTTACAACATGTTAGTGAAAATTTGAATATGCTTTAAACTGGTAACGCAAGATTGAATTACTATCGGAAATGTAAAAAGAGTAAATAGTTAAATTTCCAAAATCGGCGATGATATTCAAAAATTGTCAAAATGTACTGCAGTGTAATGTAATAGATTATTTGTTTCAAAGAGACTATTTCAAGAGGAAAAAAGAATAGAAATTGTCCGAAGTAGTGGAAAATGAAAAATTAATTATTACTGATAAACTTACTGATAAAAGGATAATGAAGCAGTGCAAAATATGGTAAACGTTATTGCTTTATCTATAGGAAGCGTATGACTCCTTACAAACAGGTGGGCGACATAAGTATGATAGGTAGATCCAGTGATAAACAACTGTAAACTTGAAATGGTGATGTTCAGATTGAGTGATGGTAATCTTTGTTAATTGTGTTGAAAGTTAAATTAAATTAGAACAGGTGTGAAGTGATGAAAGGGACTCCTTCTACGTGGATCACTTAAGATTTCATAAAAATTTTGATAACGAAATTCATTCATTAGAGGATATCTTCCCATATAGCAGTGACATGAGAAATGATCAAGTATGTGTCACTAATAATTAAAAAAAAAGCCACTATGCCAACGACCTATCTGGAAAATAGCAACTTTTTTGCTTATGTTAGTGATAATTTCGAAAGCAAGTAATGGAAATTAGCAAAAAAAAAAAAAAAAAATGAACAATATTTTAAATTCTCTTATTTTGAAGCAATCTTAAAATCTCTTTTAGCTTTGCACAAATAGCTATGAAGGAAGAAAGAAATATAAAAAGAATTTACAAGTAAAATAAATGGAAATAAACCAATTGTTTTCTTAATGATTGTTGAAATTTTTAATTTCAGCCGACAATTTGCGATAATTCTACTTTTTGAGTTGCCCTTTCATCATAGGAGGCGTAAAAATTGGCTTTAAGCCTACCAAATAAATCGTAAAATTTTATTCCTCATGTCATTGCAGTGATTTTTAAAGTATTTCGTGTTTATTGTGATCTGTTTCCCGGTTATTTAAATTCCGGGTTCCGGTTATAGTTGTTAAAATTAACATTTAGTTATAGTTTGTAAAACATAAAATATGAAAATTTTGAATTCTTTTTTTTTTCTTGGATGCAAAATGAGAGTGGAAGCTATCTTGCAAATCCCATCTTTCTACCTGAGCACATTTTTACCTTCTTATACCTGAAATCCAACCTGGAAACTTTACTCCATCTTGTCAAATAAGAATGAAAACTGAACATTACCAAATGATATCAAATATGTTTTCTTAAAGTTTCTTGATTAACTGATTAATAATACTATCCTATCTGTTTCATTTAAATTGTACCGTGGAGGTATATCAAGGATGACATAATTGATCAGTGATCATCAAAACATAACTTTTTGGAAGAACTTTGCAGAAACAAACTTGTAAGATTGAAGAACACGGAATTCAGTACTTTCCAAGCTGTCAGCATTTTCTACATCATATTACGAGTGATACAATAAACTATCTTTAAAAAAGAAAAAATTGGCCAGATAAATTGAAATATTAAATAAGTTAAAATAGGATCTGTAAAGAGAAAACGGATTAAAAGCTCTGAATTCAATGTTATCGAAATTTCTGACGTAACTTCTCCTGCCAAATGTTCCATTATGATCGGATCAATATATGTGTGACATTCCGATCTTTTGATAGCAAAA